ATAAAAACCTTTATAAAAGTTTAAGTGGATTCAAATGGTTGAAATGACCAAAGTTGCATAGATTCTGAGTTCTCAAGATAATTTTGGTGAGGACGTCGTGGAGACGTCCTCTGGGGTGCATGAAGAAGTTTTCAACCTCTAAAGAATCTCGTTTCCTCTTTATCTTTGCACAAATATGTCATTTTTTGAAATATCCTTTTTCAATGTTTTGATCTGATCGGAATTATGGCTTAAATTATTTGGAGGAATTTTAGATTTCTCTTGTATTGTCTAGCAAAAAGGGGTTTTCTGATAATTAAAGAATGACCAAAAAAATCCATTAGGCCAACTACAGGCTGCTCTGCTCCTTTTAATAATAATGATATGATAGCAGCGGTAATACGGACACACACACACACGCATACACACTCACATCCAACACAAGTGTGAGCATGCCAGCAATCATGGGTTGGTGATCTGGGCAGGCCCCAGCTATCTTTGGCATCCCCTATGCGCTGCTTGTTGCTGTGCCAGTCTGCCAGGTCAGCGATGCCATCTGATACCATTTGACACCACCACCAGCTGTCATCCAGCTTTTGCCATGCTAATATATCTGGCAATTATTTGAGTGCAAGTTCAGCAGCTTTACATAAACTGAAACAGCATGGGTGCCAAGTCCTTGCCTAACAGAAGCAAATGCCACAGCAGAGAAGATTTTTACACTAAAACCTGCTCACTTCTAAAATTCGTTAGAAAAAAAAATCAGAAGGAATTCATTTAGGCCTTGACTGTTGGCAGTTTGGTGAAGACGCAGAAGTTCGACCTAAACGTGGCTATAATCCCGTGTTGTTTTCTTTTAATGGAGTCTTATTGAATCATTTTCAAATGCGACAATCCACAGAATAACAATTTTCTTGGAAAGACAACTTTGAATGAAAGCAACAAAACCATTGGCGCAATCTGCAGCATTCTAAGAGAGTCTCTGATCAATATGTTGTGCAGCTATTCACTTTTTTTGTATTTTTGAGCCCTTGACATAATCTTCAGGTTCAAGTTCAGAGCTGTACTTTTAAACTAAATGTAAATCATTCATGTTGAAATTTGTCCTTATTTCCTTCACAATAAAATAAGTCAAAATGTCTAATATTTTGAGCTGCCTAAGGGCTTATGTTGATATTTTTTTATAACTTGTTGAAATTATATATTATTATTTTGTTTTGTTTTTATTTTTCTGTACAGCATTTTAGTCTAACGTGGTTGGCTTACAACCACAACCTCATTAGATCTCAAATCTAAATAAAGTTAGAATGAAATGCTATGTTATTACATTTTCATATGTGCTTGTTAATGTTAAATTAATAAAGTAAAAAAGCATTTTGTCTCATAAGATGAAAACAACTCTTCTGTTATTTGTTCAATTGTTGTAAAATATCTTCTTTGTACAGAGCTTTAAATCCAAATGTCTCTGGCATTTCTGGCCTAAAATACGCCACGCATTAAATCATAGAGTCTCCTCTGCTGCCATCTACTGGTTAACGTTGACAATCAACCGTCAACAATTACCCTTAAATTCAGAACCTTAGGGATAAAATGTGAAAGCAGCAGATAATTGGTGGGAAAATGTAGTTTATTAATTATTAGCCCAAGTATTTATACAGATTGTTTATTTTGTTACATTTTATTAAGATAGGTTACATTAAACTGCAAGAAAAATTGATTGAGAGTTTAGTAGAACTGACTTCACCTTACTGTGTCATATTGGTATACATATTGTATACATATCCATATGTATACAACGAAATGTTGTTAACAGCTTTCTGACATTTTGAAATAAAAAAAGACCTGATTATTGCAGTTCTTTACAAAATTACATCATATTTATTGTTATTATACTATACTCTTATTGTTCAAATGACCAAATACAGTTTTAGAACCCTATCTTGATACGACCCTTCCTCCCATACTGATGAGAGTAAATCAGCTAAGCAACATAAATAACTTTTTAAATATATTTCACAGGAAGGCAGTTGTTTTAGTCTAGCAATATATGTTGCGTCCAGAAGAGGGCACTCTTTGGGTGGCGCATGCCTTTCTGTCCATCGAAACAGCATGAGTTGTAACAGTAAAGTATATCTCCAAATCCTTTCAGACGGCACCAGTTGCAGTTGTGATTATTCAGATTTAGATTTGAACAAGAGAAAAAAAAAACATTATTTAATGAATTTATGATGTCTTGCATGGTGTATGAATGCCTTGCATAAGTATTTAAATCTCTCTGGCTTTTTTACATACAATGATGTTACACCAACGGAGTTCAACATATTTTGTTCTCATTCAAAGAGATCAACCAATACAAAAAGTTGCTTAGCTTTCTTATTTTGTACATTTTTTTGTTGTTGTTGTTTTTACAAGTTTGCCAATTATATTCATTTTATCTCAATCTGATACGCCAAAATAAAATCTGTTTTAAACATTTATCTTTAGCGGCAATGCAACTTGTAAATGAGTCTGCCTGTCTGTAATTTGATCTCGGTATGAACAGAACATTAGTGAACACACAGCATCATAAAGAGCAAGGAACAGATAGGTCAGGGATAAAGTTGTGGAGAAGTTGAAAGCAGGCTAAGTTTATAAGAAAACCAATAAAAGATTATGATGTCTCAACAAGCACTATTCAGTTCATTAAGATTCTTATTGGAAAACCTTTTGGCCTACATAAAAAATGCTGTTCATGAAATAAAATTAACACTGGCAATCATCCAGACCTGATAGAGCTAAATACAGGGTAATCGATACCCTGCTATTGATATTAGAACTTTCACATTAAACGACAAGAGAGGATCAATGGATTGGTTCAGATCAAATAATAGGGAGTTTATAGCATGACTGTAAATACTAAACTCACAAATCAAATATGAATGATCAGCTACTTTGCAAAGATTGTCCACAATTATTATTCTCAAGATATGTAAAACTGGTATAGAATGGCAACTGTAATTGCAAAGAGACAGGTTCCTTAAAGTTGTGGCAGTATGTCACACATGCCACACCTTTCAGATTTTACTTTTAGAAATGTCATATTTCTTTGTTTTCATAAATATGCACTTTTTCTTAGCCCAAGAAAAAAAATGTTTAAAAGTTCGATATGAAGAATTTGATAAGGCATCATTTCTGAACAGAATGATTGGTAGAATGCAAAACACATAGCAAGCAAGCATGCTAACAACAGAACTGCCATATCGACAATGGCAACTTGTTGAAAGTTAGTATTTTGAAAGGACAAGAACCAAAGAGATGTGAAACATAACGGGATCAGAAGGAAGAATATTGGATTTTTGTCCTCCCCTCGGTGAGAGTACTTTGTTCACATCCCAGTTTGGGCAGCAGTCCAACAAAACAATTAGCAAGTATGGGAATCCCAGTCGTGCTCTTAAACAAACCCCTCCCTCCCTCCTCTCTTTCCCCTATTATCTCTGGTTTTCTGCAGATGGCCCCAGCAGAGAGATGGCCAAGTTTATTTTCTCCACGGTGGTCCCTGTGTGGCGGCGGCGAGGCCCCTGCCATGCTGCTCCTGATGTATTAGGTGAGGGTCCCTTAAGAGATGTCAGCAGACTCTTTTATTGCTAAAGCACTCAATCTTATTTTTCCTGTTAGAGAGGACTTTGGTAGTGTCCTGTCTGAGAGAACAAGGTGAGGTAACAAGTGATTACCATGTAAGAGGGACATCCAACCTGTTGTAGATGGATGTAGAGTAAGTTATTAATGAGAAATTAAGAAAACATATGTAACATAGCACATTAGCACATAATCAAAACGAATATATTCATTAAACAAACATTTAAAAAACACTTTTCATGAAAATATGAATTAAAGTGAACAATTAGAAGAAAATGAGCCAATTAATACTTCTTCATTTGTACTAAGTAAAGGCTCTAAAATGTTTTAATAATAACAATAATAAAAATCATATTCAAACAGTCGTTTTGTAATTAATGGTGTTGTCCAACAATGTTCCTTCACCACAAACACATTTAGACAGTGACAAGAAATATACTGCATATATGAAATAAGACCACATCTGAAATCTTGATGAGTTGGGACCAGAACACATATATTAGATTATTGTATGACACTGTCAGCCAGAGCCCATGGTATATGATCTCACTATGCATGACAAAAACTAAGCTGTAGATTAGCAGAAGAAAAACACAAACAAATTTTTTTTGACAATGTATTGTCAGCTTTTCTTTTTCAGAATGCAAGCAAAGATAATTTTGATCCATTTCTGTTCTCTAGTCAAGTTAATGTGTTTATTGTTTTAATTTAAGCAGATAATGACTCTGGGCATTTTCTGATGACACCAGATAAAAGTGAAGGGATTTCTTTGAAACAAACAAAAAAAAAAAAAAACGTGATGTATGCAAACACTTTTTCTTTGGGATCCTTCTGTGAGGAAAAAAAAAAAAACGAGGGAGAGCGAGAGGCGGTGTGTGCATAAATAACTGTCTGCAGGATGTAAACACTGCGGTCATAACCCGGGCAAATTAAAACAACTGGCCTGGGCGGGTTAAACTGGGGATAGGTTCTCCTCTGCTTTGAAGATCCACACATTTTTATTGGCTGAACGAAGGAGGGAACAACCAATCAAGCCTTTGCCTAAACAAATATAATCCCTTGGCTAATTAAATCCAATTAACGACTACTGAATGCATTAAAGAGATGAAATAGCCCGAGAAGAACAGATTTACCAGAATGAGCTGCAGGTCCATTTCGGGACGTGGACTCACCTCTGAAAGCATGAGCGCTTTGTTTACACAACGGTCTCCACGTCCACCGTTATCTTTCAGAAACAACAGAGAGGGCCTCATCCCTAACCACGCTTTGTCGGTGCTCAGGTTCTGCTATTCCGAAGGAGAACACCGATAAGAAAGGTGAGCAGGTCAGAGAAGTGGCCCACACAGTGACATGAAGAAGGAAATAATAATAACGTCCAACACGCAGGGTTAGAGGTGGAGAAAATATTTTATATACATGCAATCTGTACAAAAATTTAAGACAGGGGAAAAAACACCTGCAGATTATAACAAAGTACAAAAAAAGTATAAAAAAAGATTATCTTTGAACCAGCAAAGATAGCAGATGAAGGAATCTACTTAAATAAATTGATCTTCTTTTCAAATACGGGAACGTCGAGAGAGAGAGAGGCAGAGAGGATGCGCTCCCTCTTTTATTCCCACTCACAGCCTGCGGAGATGAGACTGTATTCTAGTCAAACTTGAATGTTTTTTTTCTGTCTTTTGAGAGAAAGAGAGAAAGAGAGAGCAAGAGAGAGAGAGAGAGAGAGAGAGAGAGAGAGAGAGAGAGAGAGAGAGAGAGAGAGAGAGAGAGAGAGAGAGAGAGAGAAGCTTTTCCCACTTCGTCGCATCAGGACGCGGTTGTTCCGCACAACCGAGTCCCGTTCAGCATCTCCTTCAGATCAGTCTCCGGTTTCCCTGCGACCATGAAGGGCCACGTCTGCGGGAGGGAAACAGAGTTAATCATTTGAGCGCCAGTTATGACAGAAATCAAAGTGAAACAGAAACTCTAACAAGAGTGTGAATCGAGGCTTTCGGCCTTTTTGACTAAAGTCAATAAACAATAAAGAAGCAAACTCGTGGTTTTCTTCTTTTCTTGACATCTTCTGTGTTGTGTTTTCTTTAGTTTAAGTCGCTGTTTCGCATTTCAACCATGTTTAAGCAACATCAATTCACTCTTAAAACATCACTCTTCTACCTACAGCCAACTGTTGCATCGATATCAGTCTTTCTGATTTCTAAATATGTCTGATCAGCGGATGTAATATACAGTCTGACATAGAAATGGTCATAAAAAAGGCTTTCTTCCTCCGTTATGCACCTGCCCTGCAACCCCATCGCCTACTGCATCCATAAGGCTTCAGATGGGCCTTTGGAGGCCCTGTAAAAAAAACATGTTGATATGCAAATTTAAAGCCACCACAAATAGATAATCCTTTATAGTATCATATACATTTCAAAAATATCTATCTAAAATTATCCTTTGTATTTATCCTTGTGTTATTTTAAGCTTTATCCTATCTTTAAGCTCATCGCTCAGTCCTGGTTCCGCCATCTCTATCTGACAGCTGCACAATACGGCACTTTGTCGAGGCGCAAATTATAACAATTAAAAAAATACATTTTTTGTTTTTAAACCTGCGGCCATGTTTTCCTCAACTCTCTCCCGCAGTGGACATCATAATCTGCGTTGTGAATGGACCCTCAGGTTTGAGCCTCACCAGGTTGACTGGGTGCGTATATCCGTTTTCATACTTGTCGTTGGCCAGAATCTGCCGGAGATGCGCGATGTAGCTGGACGCCAGGCGCAGCGTGTCCAGCTTGGAAAGCTTGGTGTCCGGCGGCACCCACGGCAAGGAGGTCTTCAGTCGCGAGAACGCCTTGGACAGCACGCGCATCCTGGCTCTCTCGCGCGCGTTGGCCGCGTTCCTCTGCACCTGTTTGCCCTCCTGCTGCGCCACACCCTTAGGCGCGCTTTTGCGCGACGAGCTCTTGCGCTTCTTGTCGGACGCCTCTTTCCTCCTGCCCTCCGTGACGAAGCTGCCTTCGCAGTTGGAGCTCTCCTCCGTGCTCTCATTGGAGTCCTTGCCGGAGGAGCCGAACTTGAGAATGCCGTCCAAGAGCTCGTCGTCGACGTCGCTGAGAGATCCGGTGGACATGGTGATGCTGGGAACTGGACGGGACCGGGCTCAAATCATGGGGACGACGGAGTTGATTCTTGACAGAACCTAACGGGGTGAGCAAACACGCTCCAGGGAGTTCATGAACAAACTAAGTGAGCGTGAAAGCAACAGAAAAAAAGAACACTTTTTTTTATCTCCATGAGCTGAGAGGGCGTTACCTCATGCTGGGAGGAGACTGATCTGAGTCGGTTCCCTAAAGTTTCCAGGACCCCGATGGACCTTGGATGAGTCACTGGAAGCAAGATAAAGCGTCAGACATCGAATTGATTCAGCAAAATGAACTTTAAACTCCCTCTTTTGAAATTGATTTAACTGAGACGAAGAAAAGTGTCAAGCAGACACAAAATGAAGATGTAGCCTGTTGTTCAAATTGTAGTTTGAGACCACTTGCTTGCTAACCTGCTTTTAATTTCCATATAAAATTATCCCTGATCTGTTTGCTAACAAATGTCTGAGGCCTCTATAGGGCAGCAGCATTTATACTCAGACAAAGTAAGGTTAGTTCTGTTTATAAAGATGGTGAAGGTAGTTATCATCCTCTGGTTTTTATTTTAGGGTATCAGAGTAAAGGAAGTCGAGCACATATACACCCTCCACTTTTCAGGGTTTAATTAAATTTATTTGTCTAAACATTTGTTATCATTTTCCAGTTCACAGTGATGCACGACTTTGTGTCTAGGTCCAATTTAAATAATACATTCATGCTACAAAATATTTTAAAAATTAAAAAAATAAATAGTTTTGACATGTGACGCATAACATTTCATTTCTAGCTCCTACAATATTGCTATTGTAGGTAAGAATCTGTAGTTTTGTCGTTCTGCTCTGTTTCTGCAGAGCTTTCTGCACTTCCTGGCTGTTAAGTGCCAGGACAGGGGGTGTCACTTCTCAAATGGCAAACTGGCGCCTTGGTCCCCTCTGATGTAATGGATACCTAGCACCCACAATCCTCTGTTTGGCCTTCCACATCATTCCACACTGATGCTCTTTGCACCAGCCCACTCAGGGCCACGTCCAAACAACTGGAGCTCTCTGGAGCTGCATGATAGGAAATCCTAAAGGCCTGTGATAATCCTTTACTTCTTATGCACATCCGCTTTGCTTTTTTCTGTGTTTTGCATTATTCCTCAACGCAGCCTAAGATGTTGATGGCATTTCTAACACGAGTGCACGTTTGCCCAAGTATGTATGTTCTTGCATGCACAAAGACATAGTTTAAGCATGCAGGGTTAAAAAGTGTGTCTCCAGAGAGCTGACCTTCAGTTCTTTTGTTTTTGGTGTCTCAGCCCATCTAAACAGGCATTACCTTATTAATCAGTAAAAAACAAACGATACAGCTACCTTTTGTTGAGTCCTTTGCTTAAGGTTTAAATATATTATAACGAATAAGAGAAATACTTAATTGACTCGCTGGGAAAGTTACATTTGCAACGATAACAACAAAAATAGATTAAGATGCTGCCAAACTAAGCAGAAAGCAGGGGATAGATAAGTGAAGGGATAAAGAGAGAAAAGAGGCCAAAGACAGGGATTAATCTTCTGGGTGGGCTGAAAATCAAAGCACTAAGAGGAAAAGTAATAATAGAGTCTGTTAGATTGATGATCACCTCTGAGATACATGGATCTACACATGAGAGAAACAAGAAGACAGATGGAGTGGGAGCCAAACTAAAATAGCCTATAAAAAAGAAAAAAAAGTCAAGGGACTCTTTCTATTCCCTGTATAGCAATAAGAAATGATGTAATATAACTATCGTCAGTGCTGAAATACAGCTTAATTTCTTTATGATGGAGAACACCAGCCAAAGAACTAAGTACTTGCTGTTTTGTGAGTGGGTGATTTATTTTTTTTCTTTTTGCAACAACCCTTTATGAGAATGATAAAGTGTTTCGGAAACCCTCTCTCAGAGCTGCGGTCACACTGAGAGTGACACGAGGAAACAGGTGAAGAGGGGGGAGAGAAAAAAAGAGGGGACCCTGGCAGTCATGGAGGGACATGCTGCTAATTAGCCGGTTTGGGGGCAAAGGTTAGGCTGGTTGTGTGATGTCACCATTAAAGGAAGGGTTCCAGATGTTGGTCACACGCAGGACCATAAAGGAGGGCATCCGATCCTCGCAGTCATTATCCGGTCAGGTTTTTGCATAAATGTGTTGGTTGTGCAAAAACAGACGCCCCTTCTCTCATTTTTACTTCTCTGCTCTACTTGGGCTATTGCAGTGTTAATCTTTTCCAAACCTTGGAAAGATCGAGGAATTATTTTTGTAACATCCTATAACAAATAGGTGTAATTATCAGGTCTTGTTGTGTCCCACTCAGCAGCGGTTTCTGATTTTGGTGAAATGGTTCTTCGTCCAATAATTCTGTAGTTTAGCTTCGTATCGTAAATTAAGGGATGTTGCCTTGTTCTTTTAGAGGCAGAAAGAAACTACAGGCAATGTGGCAAGACAAAAGAGTTAATGGCAAAAGGTGCAACCCTGGATGGATTTTGTATTTTGTACACTTTTTATTTTATTTTTGCCTATTAGTTTTGTTCCAGATCACATGCAAGCAAAACTGTAACTTTAGCTGCTTGGTACTCTGTATCTCTGTAACCTATGAGCAGTTATCTCTAAAGAAAAATGTTTAAAAAAGGTTAAAGCCATTCATTTCGGAGGAAGTTGGAGATTAGGTGTCAGTGTCATTTAAGATGCTTTTTTAGCCCGTTTAGCTCTTTGCTGTAAACGGAATCAAATGGGTGTGCAACCACTGATTAATGCAAGAACCAGGGGTCTATAGTGCAAATCAAAATACCATTTATTTACAAGAGAAACATTCCCATGTATTTTTGTTGCACACAAAGTGAAAAGAAAAACAACAAAAGTAAATGAAAGGCAGAAACTGATTGCTTGGTAGCTGTACAAACCAGACCAGGGCTGGAAGTCTGGAGTCAGGCTTAGGGTGAGAAAAAACATCATCCATCTATGTCTAAGCAGTGCAGTTGCCCTGTCCCTTATCACAGCTGTACTCCCCTTGCCAACACACAGTCTTACACACACATTCACCAATTGCTTTTCACCTCAGTTCAAATATCTCAAAAAATGATTAAAAAAAAAAATGTAAGCAAAAATAACCAACAGAGAGGTTGCAGAGAGTGCAAACACACAGCAGGGAGTGAAGAGAGCCGGGCCAAAGGGATAGGGCGGACAATCTGAGCAATAAGAGAGAATTATGTACAAGATGATGGGAGTAGGAATATCATGCTGTATTTCAAAAAAGCCACAATCCTTTGATATTCAGTGACAGGAACATCCGGGACAAGGCAAAAGGGATTCTACAAACGAGATAAATTTTCTGTCATTGTGAAGGTTGCTGACCCGGAAGTCTTGGCCCTGCAGTGTAAGTGAGCTATTGGTCTCTGGAATGTGAGCGCACATGCACACTTATCTATGCAAGTGTGTGCATCTGTGGTGAAAGTGCTGGTTTCACAATGTGTGTGACGGATGAGTTTAGGCGCATAGCATCCCAATTCATTAAAATTACAACTCTGAGTACTGTTCACCATTTTACACAGTTTTGTTTGTGTTTCTTGCCTTCACAATAGTCACAACTGACATGTTTCAGACATGTACTTTTACTGTAGCATTAGACAGTGAACCCTCCGAGTGTCCCTAATGTCTTCCAGGAAGGTTAGAACATGAACACATGTTGGTGATTTGGGATATTTCTTCATGATTTGGTAATAACCACAGGCGAAGGAGTTGAGGATGGTGATGTTCAGGTGGGGAGCTTCCATTCTAGGTTTCTACTCCAGTGCTCTTGACAATTTAATAAAGCCAACTGTGCAGCACAAGACAATTTTTTTCATTTCTTTCTTTCTCCCGAAGACATCTGCCTATGACACTACAAGGTATTCAAATTTGTCTTGCTTTTTCGCTTTAATTGTATGACAGACGAGAACAAAACAAGAAAAATGGGTTTCAAAAAAGCAGTTTGTTTTTAGCCTATTTTTTTGTTGTTGTTGCTTTGACTACCGAAAAGGAGTTCATTTTGAGCCTTCTGACTATTTTTACTGTGTAATTTTTTGCCCCCTTTAAACATTACAACATTTGACATTTTTAGGAAGATTTTATTATTTTATGTTCTGATAGTTTTTATATTAAAGACATATTCCAAAATAAATTAAATGCAAGGTTAGGGACCGGTGGACAAAATATGTTTTTTTTTCAATAATGGAAAATGCAAACAATTACCTAAGTAGTCAGAGTTTTTATTTTAACTCAATTAAGCAGACCATTAGCGTGAAAGTCAAAAATCGAGAGGCTTAACCATGACATGCTTTTTTTACTGGATGAGATTCTTTCCTGTGATCTTTTTTTTTGTCCCACTGTTCAGAGGGAAATGACAGGTGTGTGTTACGTCTGTTGACATATGGGGACTTCTCAAATTGTGGAAACGTGCCTTGGTTGTTAAAAAGAGAAATATTTTTCATAGAGCAATCAATGTTATAGGATCATCATTGTTGCTCAGTGCAAACGCTTCCAGTGGAGATTTTTTGTTATATTCCTAAAAGTAAACTTCATTTTCTTCTACTGAGCTAATAAAGTGATCTCATCCTTTCATATCTCATCTTTTTCAGCACTTCAGTTAGCAGACACATGCCCATGGATACAAAGAGAGAAGCTTTATCTTTAACTTTATGTGGTGTGCTGTGCAGTTTCTGTGATTGGTGATGCTGCTATCACACAGCAAGAAGAGAGATAGGATTAGTCCCCAAAGAGTCCACGAAGTTGGACTGGTGCATGCACAAACTCCTCTATGAATCGTGTGTATCTTGCATTCATAAATTTCTGTCTGACTCTCTGTGAAAGGGGGTATCAGGCTGCTCTTGTCTACAGGAACAAACTCCAGGCTTGGCTCAGATAAACCCCCATAACCTGCTGATATCTCTGGATAAACCATCCAGAACTGTAGATATGTGGGACGTGTTGATTTCTCCAAATGCAGGAAAACTCCTGCTACCCTGGGCAAAGACATTACACACATCCTCATCCTCCCTTCCCTTTGCTTCCATCCAGTCTGCAGCCGTCCCTCCTGGATCACAAGTTTAAGGAGTTTAGACATGTTGTATTTTCATAACTGTCTCCAAGAGACTTTGACATGTTAGCTTCAAACTGACTGAAGACATGACAGAATAGAAGTTTTAAGAAATCAGTTCTATGTGTGTCAAACTGTGTTATTGTTGGTAATTTTAAA